CTTGTTGAGAGCTATCCATTCTAATGGTCGGCCACGCGGACTACCAACCTTCAACGGTAACAGGATTTTCACGTGTAAGAGAACGAACGGAAACAAGATTTTTAATGATGTCAGGAGAAACAAGCACATTAGAAAGATATAACGGCATGAAGTTAGAAGGAAAAGCAGCATGGCCGACATGAGTAATGGGCATGGAAGAACCGCCACCCACGGTAATGCGAGTAGCGGTGTGAAGGGGGTGAGCGGCAAGAAGGTTACCGGGTTGGCGGCCATGTGAGCCGTGGCTCCGGTGTCCATATACCAGTTGCCACCGCCAGTGTATTGCTGCGGCGTGGGGGCGGTGTGGAGAGCCGCTAGGAGCGCGGGATCCCAAGGCGCCGGCGGGAGGGCCGGGGCAGACGGCGCCGCACTAGTAGAAAAGGGGGCAATGGTCCAGGCCGGGTCAGCCCATTAGTCCCGGTTCAATCCAGAACCGGGACCAATGGGCGCATTGGACCCGGTTCGTGAGCCCTGGGGGCCGGCCGGGCCGCGTGAGCCATTGGTGCCGGTTCTTCTGAACCTTTTGGTCCCCGTTGGTGGGACGAACCGGGACCAATGGGCCTTGGTCCTGGCCCACCACCATTGGCCCCGCTTGGTGGCACGAACCGGGACTAAAGGGGTGGTCCTCGTTGCGGCCAGAGTTTAGTCCCACCTCGCCAACCGAAGGGGGCTCACACCGGTTTATAAGCCCCTCCCTCTCTGCCTTGTTGACTGCTCTCAAAGTGAAAATAGATTTCCTTATACAGGAAATTTGACCTAAATTCATATTGAATTTCTCTGAAGTTAGTAGAAATTTATTATGAATTTAGGTCTAATTTTCTCTATAAGCGCATCTATGCTCATTTCTGAGTAGTTTTTTATATAGTTTTTTTTCTTTTCTGCTATATTTATTTTTTTTCTATTTATTTCTGAGTTGTAATAAGTTATTAAAAATAAAAAAGATTTTAGTAAAGTTAATCACAACTATTTTTTCTTCTAATTATTTCTGAGTAGTTTTTGATATAGTTTTTTTTTCTTTTCTGCTATATTTATTTTTTTCTATTATTTCTGTGTGGTAATAAGTCATTAAAAATAAAAAGAGGCGCAATGCTAGTTAATTCACTTCAAGCTTTTCAGAATAGTGTAAACTGCACTGCACATAGCTCCGTGCAGTCTACCCTATTCCTTAAGGCTTGAAGCGAACCAACGTGCAGGTGAGCATTGGGCTTCTTCTTCATCGTCTCTGCACTCAGGGCTTATAAACAGCTGCGAGTGCCTCTCGCTTGGCGAGGTGGGACTAAAAAGGGGGCAATGGTCCAGGCCGGCCGGATCAGCCCATTAGTCCCGGTTCAATCCAGAATCGGGACCAATGGGGGCATTGGATCCGGTTCGTGAGCCCCGGGGGCCGGCCGGGCCACGTGGGCCATTGGTCTTGATTCTTCTGGACCTTTTGGTTCCGGTTGATGGAACGAACCGGGACCAATGGGCCTTGGTCCTGGCCGACCACCATTGGCCCCGGTTGGTGGAATGAACCGGAACCAAAGGCAACCCATTATGGTAGCATAGCATATGCACTGGTGAGCTAGCTGTGAAGTGTGACCCTCTATATATCTAAATAATTTCCGTAGACATTCGTCAATGTAGGGAACGAAGGAACACTGGTTTGTTTCAGGGTTTCAAGCAACTATATTGTGGTACTTCCAGTTTAACTTATGTGTCTAGTGAATGTGAAATTGAGCTTTCCCGCAAAAAACGAAAAGAAAAAATAATGTGAAGTTGAGCTGACAGCTGACTGCGGTGGTGCTATTTGATTGTCCTTTTGTTTCCCTGTTATAATAGTTTTGCGCCTAATCAGGCTATGAAATCTGGACAAAATTTGTCCTTTTTAACGCGCGCACAATCGATAATTGGGCTTGAGCGGACGTGCAATAAACATGTGCGCTGCATATAGAGTACAACGAGCGGTCCGAACGTGTTATGTATTTGGTGCGCCCGCTTCCGCAGGCTGCACTCTCTCCGCCGCGCCACCTTCGCCCCGTCCCGCGCCGTCGCCGGCGAATTGACCCGATGGACGCCCGCGCCGGCACCCTCCCTCACCCCTTCCTAGACCCGTGACCCCTGCGCCGCCGCCGCCGCAAACCCTAGCACGGGGAGCTTTGGCTTCGCCTCCACCGGCGCTCCTCCAAGCACCGGTATCGCGCGCGGCCTTTTCATGCCGTCACGGATGACCTCGCGGCGGGTGACGTCGCGCCGGCGCTCGCCGTGAAGCCACGTGCCCCCCTCTCAAAGCTCCCAAATGCGGCGTGGCCGAAGAAGGGCAAGGTATCCGCGAAGAAGAACAAGGCGGCGGACGGCTCTGGCTCCTCTAAGCCGTCGAGGAAGAAGCTTGCAGGGTGTGAACTTTTGTGTCATGAACTTGGTTCGGGTTTTGAACTTGGTTGGATGATGTGTGGGCATGAATTTGAACTTGTGGGCATGAACTTTTTATGTCATCATGAACTTTTTATGTCATCATGAACTTGTTTGTGTGATTTAAATTATGCCATGCCTTTGTTTTGATGTTTGAAATTCATTTCGTGTCCAAAATGCAATATATGGCAAGCGTCGGCTGCTCGCGCGCTGCATTTTATCACGCCTACTGGAGCTACGCGCGCGCTAAAGTTTATAGCGGTCGCTGGAGTCAGCGCTCCCCGCCGCGCCAAAACAGGCGATCGACGCGCTGCAAACGTATTTTTAGCGCACCGCACGTTGGGCGGCTGTTGGAGATGCTCTAACAGTGGCAGGAGAAATCACCTCGATCGGGCTGGGAAGGAGCAGCGTCAGGGAAGGAACAACACTCGATAGGGCGCGCGGCCATGTTGCGGCGGGGACGGAGCAGCGGCGGCCAACTCCCGCACCGGGCGCGAGGAAGCGGCCGGGGACGCGAGCAGGGCGACGAGGAGGAGGCTCCTGTCAGCCGTGGAGGAGCAGGTAGGCGGCAGCCCAGGTCGCCTCTATGCGGGCGACAGCAGGTAGGCCTTCGTCTCCGGCTGGGCCCTACTGCCCGCTGCCGGCGGTGGCTGAGGCGCGTGGGCGACTAAGGGAGGAAGAAGAGGGGGGTTGATTAGCACGAGATTTAAAAAGTGAAGGTTTTTTTTTCAAAAGTGCAAATGCACTATCTCCTCGAAAAGAATTTCGGGACGGAGAGAGTACAATATATAGTACTCCCTCCGTCCGAAAATACTGTCGGAGAAATTGATAAAAAATAGATGTATCTAGAACTAAAATACATCTAGATACATCCATTTTTCCGATGAGTATTTTCGGATGGGGGGAGTACTGTTTTTGTTTCAAAGAGGCAGTAAGGATGTGCAGGCATCATTATTTCAGATGAACTCATGACGACAAGTTGCTTGTTTTTCAGGCACGGAGATTATTCAGTTAAGGTTGTGGCCAGAAACAATCATAAATTCAGAAGGCAATGCCCAAGACTGAAGTGCTCTAGGGCCAGGGACGAAACAGAGCATGCATGCGGATGCAGCTAGCTGAAACAGAGGAGCTGCTGCTTCGTGCTCTGTTTTTGTGGGGCAACCAGTGCATGCCCTTTTTTTTGCGCTTCTTTTCCACAGCCATCTTATTACATGGTCTAGAAACATAATTTTGCCATTTAAAATATACTCCATCCGTTCCCAAATAATTGTCTTTCTAGTCATCTCAAATGGACTACAACATACGGATGTATATAGACATGTTTTAGAGTGTAGATTCACTCATTTTGCTCCGTATGTAGTCACTTGTTGAAATCTCTCGAAAGACAATTATTTAGGAACGGAGGGAGTAGACTATAATGGCTGATTTGTTGAGAAAGCCAAGCAACAACAAATCGAAGCCGGCTTCTCGTTCTCTTATCGACGCGCGATACGAGCGCCCACAAAACAGACAGCCATCTTCGCCTGGTGCCCACCTCGAAGATACCACTGTGTTGGCCAAGCCTCTGATGACTGCTTCCAGCTGGGTATATATACTCCTCACAGCTCCTGTTGCTGTCATAGTAACACACTGATGGTCTCAGCAATTATATTTCTTGTATAATCCTTCACTGTAATTAAATTAAACTGTGTCGCGTATACCAGAAATGAGAAGCGCAGGCGGTTGTTGGTAATTCTTGGAAATACCCTTCTTTTTCAAATACACTCCTCCTGGCTTGAAGAAGCATCAGAAGATGAGCTTGGAGCGCTTTCCATATCGCACAGATTTGGATGTGAGCTGGATCTCCCTCCAGAATTGTATTATACTCCCTCCATTCGAAAATATTTGTCATCAAAATGGATAAAATCTCCCTTTTATCCATTTTGATGACAAGTATTTTCGGACGGAGGGAGTACTATATCACAGGTTCATCACATATTTCCTAGACTTTTCTCCTGAATCTATAATATTCACTTCTGTGGTATTATTTCAGGGCAGCAAGCAGCAGAAGTGGTTTAAAGTTGCATATTGCATAATTCTGGAAGACATATATCCATCTCTCACCCGCCAGAAAAGAAGTGCCACATGATCTAGAAAATAGTGACAGTAAACCACAGCGAGGACACATGCAACGGGCGCCTCTTGTGCCTGCATAGCTTTTAATCATCTCTAACATTTTCGTTACAGCATGTCAATCATACAACGGGGGCAAACCACAACACACCAAATTCCTAGCTATAAACATATTTATTTATTTAATCACTACGCCTTCTTCTACGTTACGGCTGTCGCGGTATTATTACAGCAACTCCTGGTGCCGATTCCACTGAATTAGATGACCAGTGAGTAGACAGACAACTGAACCGACAAGCAGCAAAGCCCTTAATTATAAGCACAGGTTCCATCTGAAACTGGGGGACAGGGGAGGTCAGGCTATAGAAATATCATGGATCAACGTAACACAAATCACTGAAGCATTAAGTTTCATCAACGATAAAAACAGTGTACATATATGAGCGTCTTCTCAGGACATGTCAGCGCCATGCAGAAGACACGACCAACACTCTGCTCTTCCAACCTAGGTAAAGGACTCCGTCCCTTTCCTCAAGCCTGTACCAACTGTGGTAGTCATCCAGCAGTGTTTTGATGGTGCTGTTCACCATTGAACTCAGCGGGTACGGCCTAAATCCAGCCATTGCAAACCTTGCCTTCCATGTTCCAAACACCTCATGCCTCTCAACCCTTTCAGCACCCTCACACGCGATTAAACTGATGATATCCCTTCCAAGACAGTGCTGCTCTGTGTTAACCCGTATCTTGTCATCCCTTGGGAGAGCAAAGTCTATTGACTCAAACACTGCCGTATAGTAGTCGAAGGTCTCCAAGTATCTTGAGAAGAATGGAGCTGTGTTTGTATTCGACTCCTGCTCAACAAGAGTCACCACCCTGGGGGATAGGCTCTTGATCATTCTTATAATTCTGTCCCGATGATTTTCCGTGCTCACGCTTTCATCAGGAGTATGATGCAGCTGATAGGCAAAATTCACCACAATGACCTCCCCAGGTCTTATATCAAGATGCTTAAGATAAACCTCATGGCTAGCAGCATGAACAGCATTGAACTCAAAGGGCACACCACACGACGCAGAGACATTATGTAATCTTGTTCCAACCATGTCCAGTCCACTACCTTGGGCATAAGCAGAATTTGAGTCATCTATACCAGTGATTCTTAGGCATGGTGGACCCCCGGGCCTCACTGCAAGAGCCTGAATCATAGTTGTCCACTGGCTCCCCTGTGCGATTTGGAAATCAATGATGTGAACCAAGTTCTCGCCTTTAACAGCCTCTGCTATGGCGCCATTGGCTGACATGTAACCAAACTTGTAGGATGGGCACATCTCATAAAGGAAATGCATGTAAGACATGAGCTCGGAGCTTGTAGGTTCTTTGTACTTCAAGGATTTATACAGCTTACTTCCAGAGGAAGAAAATCTGGCAACAAGGCCTTCCAACATATATGCTCCTAGGCGTTGCATTGGATCTCCAGAGACAGACACCAGCTGACCTAGCTCAGATATCAATAGTTCTGTTGCATACATATCATTCGCAGCAACGGCCTTACCGCATGCTATGATCACCTGCTTCAAGTCTCCTGTATTAATTCCCAGAAGCTGTCTCCAGTTACCTTGTTTCAAAGGTATGTCCAATTCAGGCCCAGGAATTACATTTTCTAGAGTGCCAAGAGAATCAGTTGTCGAGAAGTATTTAGTCTGTTCGTCAGTTAGACTTGCACCTGTGATCATCTCATCCGCTGGAACCTAGAATCCAGGAAACGTTAGGTGGTTCATGGAAAAATGCAGGATGGAATTGTTGATTGTGCCATAGCAGTAAGTAACTTTACTTACTGGTAGAAAATTGTGGAACGGAGTTGGCTGTGCTGAAAGTGATCCCTGATCATTTAAGATATTTCCCTGGGGCAGATAATAAGGAATTCCATTCTGCGCCATAGAAGGATCGTGCTGACCATTTCCTACAGCAAGTTGATCCCCAAAACTATCAGAAACAACAACAACAATAATAATGACAACAACAACAACAACAATATTAGTAATAATAATAGTAATCTTGCAATGAAACAGAAATTACAGTATGGACGGATGTGTGATGCAATACTAGGCAGGTGTTTAATATTGACCTTGATGCACAGTCTGTTCATACATGGGCTGCGAAAACGGCAGTGTTCCTTGGTTTGAAGGACCGGCGTCATTGTTTGACAGGACTGTGGCCCGTGAGAACCCATTCAATGGATGTCGATCACCAAATACTGAAATAAGTTGAATTTAGAGAAACATGCAGTGCAACAAAGATCAGTAATGGGACAAAATATTAAAAATCACCGTGTTGTGCGGCCATGTCATTAGGATATTGCCATGTAGTTCTAGCTTGTACAGAAGGACCTGCATCATTGTTCAGAGACACTGCACGGACAGGGCAGCCATTCATCATCAAATAATCAGGAATAAGAACCCCTAATTTTTCCCGCTCCTCAAATTTCTTGAATGCGGGCAATTTCCAGCTCTTCACTTTAAGCTGTAACAGAATATTTCTTTTATGTCATCACCATCATAATGTAAAGAACATGCTTGCTTGTATTTGGACTGCAGCAAAGCATCTAATGATCATAATAAAGCTTCTACATCATCGAAAAGGAATATTTTAGTGTGATAGCAATGTATTGGTGCCAGCAAAATGCTTCTATTTTCCCTGCTATTTTTATGATGAATTTGTCTTTTTACGGGTTTTCTTTAGGTGCACTAGGGTTGTAGCTAGCTCCCCCTTTTGTTGAATTCTACTGTGCCTGAAGGGGTGTAACAACACGTTTTTTATCATACACTTATAGGAAATAATAAACTCCACATTAGTAGTTCACCTTTTTTGGAAGGGAAATTGTAATGGGGGCCCAGACGGTATAAATAGGATACAAACCAAAATTCATGTCCTCAGGGACTTGAACCCCGGTGGTGGAATTTTACTCCACTCCCCTGACCAAGCTAGGCTCACTTCTCTAGCATCATTTTACGTTGTGTTTGTTCAGCAATGCAGTTATAGGTTAGCCCATAGCTGTTCGTTGTGACGCTGAAGTATTCAAAGTTCCACAAGTAAATTTTGCTATTTACCATTTTACCGTGACAACCTTTGCAAGGTAATTGCCAGCACACTATTACTTTAGAGTATATCAATAGCCTAATTATGATGGACATGGAACAGTGTCAAATGCATACCTGCTGAAACTGATCAAGGTCACTAGCAGGAACATAATCTCCATTGGTCAGCACACCGACAAGATCATAAAAAAAAGTGAATAAGAGTTCACAATTTTCCTCTGCAACTCCATAAGAATAGATCTCAACCCCAGGATCACACGTGGTGGCATGTGTTACCGTGGTACTCCAGTCCTCCTCCTTCATGCCAGTAAGTCATTTGCAGAAATTAAGAGTTTTCTCAGAAAATAATGAAGTGCTAGCAGATATTATAGTCCAGATGAACATTTAGCATTATGCAGTCCAAACAAGTCCTAGGAGGCACTGGGCATATTAATTATATGAGTAATTTCCGGTTTTTACCCCCTATTTTGACATTTTTGACACTAATTACCCCATTTAGCGATATTTCATCCGTTTTACCCCATTTAGCAAAAGTTCTGCCACAATTTAACTTGTTTAAAATTTTGTGAGCGTTCTGACCGACAGGTCCCAACTGTTAGGTCCAGTTGGTATGCCACTTCGACGGTTTTTTCCTACCTATTTTTCTCCGTGCTGAACCGGTCCTCGCAGCTTCTCCCGACCAGGACTGGCCCGATGGTGGTCGCTCGTGTCACGTCCAACGCACAACGCCCGAGTCGGCCACACGTCAAGCTCGCCTCCAGTCGGTTCTCTCTTGCGAGGCTCGCACCCAATGGATTGCATCGTCCAGGTTTCCAACTGCACGCACCCATCAGGCTTGCTCGAACCTAGGGTTAGGGATTGTCAGGTAGTGGTGACGATGACGGCGGGTGCTGAGGAGCCGACCGTGCGATTTCATACCTCCTTGAGTAGGATTGTATGGCTGGGACATCAAGGCAAGAAACGACCTCGTGGAATCCGACGGCTCCATGAAGCTTGCCCACGTCGGCGTAGTCCTCTTAATTTTATATACTTCAAAAGCAAATCATGTACGTGACCCCATCAGGCAATGCTCAGTTCTTCTTCCTCCTTTGGCGACATAGCAAGGACCCCATCAGGCTGCTCAGTTGTTGGGGGGTCTATGGCGACGGTTGATCCAACAAATCAGTGAGGTTGGTGAACAAACAAGCCCCCTCAGTCGTACCCCATTCACATGATTTTGACCATCTCTATCATAGCAATTTGTGTATTCTGAAATTTTCCTGACTCATGCATTGGCTGCTGAGGTGTTTCATTCGGATAGAATTAAGATGCTTATTAGAAGATCACGTGTATACAGGGCACTCTTCTGCAACTAAGGTGCATTGATTTAAAGTTTTTTTGTCAACTTTTTGAATATTGACGAAATTCTTTTACTTCTTCAGTTTGCTGAACCTTTTCAGAATTGCTCTGAAATCAATTCCTTCGGGGTGATCTCCTCCAGTGGTTGTAAGGCACAGAGATGGAGGATGATTTTTATGGTTTGTGACAGCTCCTGGAAGCCATGGAGGACAAGATGATGTTAATCAGTTTTGATAGTAGTTTGAAGCATAAATACAATCTGTTTGACAAATGAGAGATAATTTGACAACATTATCCATGAATGAGGAGATGAATTGATATCATGACCCAGGGAACAAATAGGCAAAAATAGTTGTCATAACACGATTTTTTTGCATTGTATACCCATGATCTGTTGCAAATAATAGGAGTATGATTTGTTTTTTAAATAATAGGAGAATACCATCAACTCCAAAAAGACTCCCGCTAAATATTAAACGGGGTAAATTGTGGCAACACTTTTGCTAAATGGGGTAAAACAGATGAAATCCCACTAAATTGGATAATTAGTGTCAAAAATGTCAAAATAGGGGGTAAAAACCGGAATTTGAAAGTCTATAACTGTACATTTACCTTTTGGAGACCAGATTTATCTCTGTGATAATGACCCATAAAGCGCTTCACTGTAGTAATATTTTTATCAGCTAGGTCATTGCAACGCTTCCCCTTTAGAGAAACGCTCTCCAAACGATGTACCGCTTCTTCTTTAGATGGAGGATAACTCTTTCCATTTACTGAAAGTAAACAAATGTTGGATGTCTTATGCCAATATATGGAATCTGTTCATTACGGATACCATTGTGTCTGATGATAATAGTATTCAGCAAAGGATTGATGTACACGGTAAGCTGCAAATCGATTTACCATGCATATTACTGATCTACGACCTAATATACAAACATTAGAAAATTAAGACGGTCCCATTCTTTCGGTATTCCACAGGAAATGGACAACTCAAAATAAAATATGTATTGAGCAAAGAAAAGTGCAATCCCAAATAGTCACAGTACTTCATACAATTTTGTGACAGAACTAGCCATTCCCTTCCAAAAGCAGAACATTTAGTGCCAAGACTTCATATTTCCAGATAAATAATGCCACTGCATGTATAAGGCCATAAAACTTTATGAAAGATATGATGTTTGCTTTAACTCCTTTTTTACTTCAATAATCTTGGCAGCCACTTAGAGGAGGAGCATGTTTCTCAGCTGACAATGGCAAACAATAAATGTTTCATTGAAGAGCCAATTGCACCAGTGTATTAAAATTTCCTATGCAGTATAATTAAAAATATTAATGCCCTGAATAGATAAAGGATATACTCATATACTAACATGCGCTTCGGCAGTCTTTGACGACAAAAGGATCAGTGATTGCTTCTTGAACTCTGACTGCAAGATCCTGTCTTTCAACTGTAGTGGTGCCTCCAGATTCAGGAAAACCTTCCATTATCTGCCTAAATTTTAAAAATAAGATGAGTAAGACAGTTCCAAAAGGAAACTAAAAACATGTACGACGAGAAAAATAAAATGCCAGATACCTAGGAGGCTCATAAATTCCATTAGGAAGCGAAGCTGCTTGTCGTTCGCCAAGTTCTGCAATGGCTTAAATTTTGAGAAAAATGTAACAAACAAGATCAGTGGTAGAACATAGTATTAAAATTCACCTTGTTGTGCAGTCATGTCTGTAGGATATTGCCATGCCGTTCTAGCTTGTATGGAAGGGCCTGCATCATTGTTCAGAGGCACTTCACTGACAGAGCGGCCATTATTCATGAAATAATTAGGGGTGAGCCCCCCTGAGTTCTCCTGCACCTCAAATTTCTTATACGCACAGGTACACTCAGTTTCTGTCTCATTCAGTCTATCAACAATATTCTGTACAGTGGGCCTTTTGTGTCGATCCTCCTGCACACAACTTAAACCTATTTCAATACATATCTTTACTTGCTTGGAATATGCCTTCATCAGACTCGATGTTTCATGTGGCCTATTTGTCCAATTTTCCTGTACCTACCGATTTAGAGTACAAAAAATGATAATATCTTAGAATAATCAAAGTATTATTATGAATTACATGCACATTATCTTGGTAAAGGCAACGCGTTCTCTTACAACATTAATGAACTCGTGGGAAGACATTTCAGCGCTTTTGTAGTAGCCCGCCCGTCCTGCCATTATCTTTATGATTACAACACCCAGGCTGAATATGTCAAATTTACTTGAGATTAAATAGTTGCGTATGTATTCCGGTGGTAAGTACCCTCTGCATCACACATGGTATATAAATGTTACTGTTACTACACATCTAATCCAAAATACATTTACCTTCTCCAATTTCAGTTAATATGAAGAATGCTTACTGTGTTCCTAAAGTACTTTTTGTAGCTCGCGTTCGTTCATCTCCAAACAGCCTTGATATCCCAAAATCTGCAATTCTGGGAACCATGTTCTCATCCAGCAATATGTTGGCTGGCTTTAAATCCAAATGATAAATAGGTGGCTCTAATTTAGTGTGGAGGTATTTCAAACCCTGGCAAATCCCCTTAATTATTCCGTAGCCAGTGTGCCAATCATATTTATCACATTCATCTGCAGCACCAAATAAGGAGAATTCTCGAGAGGTAAATTCTAAGGATGATACCTTAACATGCTATGGTCTCGAAAAAAAGAAACCTTAATATGGTAAGTAAAATAAGGAGAACAACATCTTTACCAGAAATATATTTTTCAAGGCTTCCATTAGACATATACTCCAAGCAGAGCGCTCTATGTATCTTTTCCGCAAGAACCAATTTTCCTTCATACATTGCTGGTACTTCCTGAATATGGTGGCAATAGCCAACTAACCGCACAATATTTCGGTGCTGCAGCCTTGCAAGGTTCTTAAACTCATTCTGAAATTGCTCCTCGTCAACTCCTGGCATATCATAGATCTTCTTCACAGCAATCTTTTGCCCGTCTGGATGCACACCCTGCACAACATTTCACATGGTTTAATTTTCTGTTTGTAAAGTAGAAAATGCTATGCTTGAATGTGGCAACACAAATCATTTACTGCTCCATGAATATACGTGAGTTCATCATTAACAAGACCGGTAGAGAAATATATATAGTACTCCCTCTGTAAAGAAATATAAGAGCGTTTAGATCACTAAAGTTGACGGGGCTGGTGGTCGACAAGTTTACTCCCGGGGTCCATTGTTGCTGGGGGTTGCCCGACTTGGAGATGACAGAGACGATACAAACCGAGTGGAAATCCTTCTGAAGGAAACCGGGTTCATAAGTGGTCATTGGGATATACATTGACCAAATCACCAAAAACCTCTTGTTCAAAATACGGTAGTTGTATGATAGTTTGGTATTGTTGATGTCAGGAAGCCATGTAAACAATCTATTATCTTACCAAGTAAACCTCTCCAAAGGAACCACTACCAAGTTTCCGCTCCTCGGAGAAACCATCTGTGATTTGTAGTAATAAATCGAGGGGCACAGCTGTTGACTCTGAACCTGCATCGTCCATGCTGTTGCAGAAAGAAAGAAATGTTATTATTTGACTCCTGAGCAGTTGGACGACTCACCTTCTCCTTATTGACCTCTAACAATAGGCAAATCGAGTCTTCACAGAAATATGTATAGGTGAATGGAACTTGCACAAATAAGATCCAGTTTATACAGCAACGATCTACTCCCTCCGTTCCTAAATATTTGTCTTTCTAGAGATTTCAACAAGTGACTACATACGGAGCAAAATGAGTGAATCTACACTCTAAAATATGTCTATATATATCCGGATGTGGTAGTCCATTTGAAATCTCTAAAAAGACAAATATTTAGGAACGGAGGGAGTATAAGGCATTTTAGAGATTCCAATACGGACTATATACGGAGCAAAATGAGTGAATCTACACTTTAAAATATGTCTACATATATCTGTATGTATTCTATTTGAAATATCTAAAAAGACTTATATTTAAGAATGGAGGAAGTATATGATAATTTACACATAAAGCAAAATGTTGTCAACTGCAGACCCGACAGTAACACAGAGGTGTGATGATAGCAAAAATGCATTGACTTCCAAAATCATCCGATGGATCTGAGGGAGAGCTAGCTATGGGGAAAACACTAACCTGAGTAGGGCCTGGAGAGTGGGGATCTTGGTAGCTTTTTCCTCTTTAGCAAAAGCTGCTTGGAGGCCGACGAGTGGTGGGGGCGGGGGCGTTGGGGAGGGAGGAGGAGCTCAGTTGAGGCGGCGGTGCCTGCTGCTGGCCGGCAGAAGATTGGAGTCCACGAAGGCGTCCAGGCCTGGTGCTTGCTGGCGGGGGCGGCGGTGACCGGAGAGACCGGTGACGCCGCGCCCTGAACCGTAGCCGAGTATCACATCCACATCCAGGAAGGGATCGACCAGAATATAGCGGATGAACTCAGTAGAAAACTGGGGAATTGCTCAAGATTTGCTTTTTGGCAAAAGAGTTGTCAAGATGGCAGTCATTGTACTATAAACTAATATAGTATTGTTTCTGTAGAACGCGCAAAAGCTGTTTCGTGCTATTTCATTTGGTCGTGCTAGTCCACCACCATGTGATCGTTTGATTGGCGCCTCATTAGTAGCCGTATTTACTGAGTATGCCATCGTTCAGTGGAATTAAGGAGTGAGGATCGGTACGACTAGGGGCCTGTTCGGTAGCCCTCTGGCTTCTCAACTCCACAACTTCACGTCCGGAACCGTCCCGAACGGTCCAACTCCTGGCTTTACGATCGAGAAGCTGGCAAATCTAGTAGTGCAAATTTGGAGGAGTTGAGGAGTTGGAAAACCCGAGCTCTCCAAAAACCGGGAAACGGGAGTTGAGGGGAATTACGCTAGGACTGCCATCGCCAAGTCACGAACCGGTACGAAGGAAGATGCGAGCATCCGAGCGAAGAGGACCGGCCCAATCGATCCCTCATCCTCCTCCCATTCCCCTCGTCCTACTCCCCTGCAGAAAACCTAGCCGCCGCAAGGAGCAGCTCCAGCTCCTTCTCCGCAAGTCGTCGTCCGGCGCCACCCCACCAAGATCACGTTGTCGGATCCGGTCGATTGCGACTTGCCGGCCACCGCCCTCCCCAGCGCCCGGCCACCGCCCTCGCTCTAGCGACCAGGAGCAGCCTAGGATCCCTGGTCCGCCCCTCGTACACCTCCTCCCTGCATGCTCCTCCATCAGCCACAAGCTGCGCCTCACGTCCCAGAGGCGACGCGGTGGATCAAGGGACGGGCGTCTTGGTCAACGCCGGCGACCACAGATGCAGGATGAGCAGGGGCCTGATTGCAATCTTATTCTGTTTTCTGGGGTGGTTTATGCTAATATAAGGGACCAGAGCGAGAAGCTTCCTAGCCGAACAGATCGCCAACTCCTGGCGATTTGGAGAGAAGCTGGCGCTGGTTACAGGCGAGGAGTTGAGGAGTTTCCGGCGCCAGAGGGCTACCGAACACGCCCTAGCTTTTCCCTTTTAGACCATCTCTGGCACAACCGTATAAGTGGTCAAACCCTTTAAAAAATTGCGTTTTACAGTTTTGATTGAAAAAAGTGTCCAAACCAGAAACCATAAAAGTGGTTCAACCTGTAAAAAATTTAAGGGCCAGCCACTGAAAATGCACGCCCGAAACCCTTATATTTGAAGGTTGGAAGGCCGAACTCAGGGGCCCCGTATACCGATCAAACCTCGTCGGAGGCGTGTTTGCTCCGGTTTGAATTGGACGAGCTCGACATCGCCGTGGCCTCCCATGACCTAAGCCTGACCGCTGGAATCCTTCCGGCGCGGCAGGCAAAGGGGCACAGTTCGGCCTGTGCGGCTGGCAACAGAACAAGGCGCGGACGGCGGGGGCGACGGGGCGTGGCCGGCGAGACTGGGCACGGCCGGCATGCTAATGGGGTGCGACCGACGTGGCCGGCACAGACGTTGGGGAAGGGGCGGCAGCGGCTGGATTGGAGGAGGGAGCTCTTTATTCAAGTTTTATAGTATCTGTTCGGCCGTAGCTAAAATAAACCCTTAAAATGCATTTTTCTCGACCCGTATCCGTATCCCAGTTTTACAGTTTGTGATTTTAAAGGGTCTGCTAGAAATGCTCTTAGCAAAGGAAAACGCTTGAGTTCGGCGTGCCAGCTGAAGCGCTATGCGGACGCACGCTGATCGTGGGATCTTCCTTGATCCAACAAAAAGCTGGAGCCAGCCATGCGAAGCTACCACCAGAAGAAAAATGCTTCGACTGACGAACTAAAAAAACTGGATCCGGCGAAATCAAATGCTACTATCGGCAAACCAAGAAGCTGGAACCAGATGTGAAAGCTACCACCGATAGAACAAAATGTTTCGACCGGCGAACTCAAAAGCTGGAACCAACAAAATCACTTGCTACCACCAGCAAGCAAAAAAAAGCTGGAACCGGCGATGCCAAAGCTACCACTGGTAGAAGAAATGTTTGGACCGGTGAACTAAAATGCTGAAACTGGTGAAATCAAATGTTACTACAGGGAAATCAAAAAGGCTGGGGCGGGCTTGAATTAGTGAGGCAGTGGTGCGCGGTGGTGCCCACGCCGGCGTGGACGTTGCGACCGGCGAGGCGACATGCTGGGACCAACTGTCTTTTTTTGTTGTTGCAATAGGCAGGGAGTGGCTACCATTGGCGAACTGTAGTGCCCGAGATGGCTGGGTATTAGTAGAAGCTGGGACTGGCGGCGAGCCGTGGAGGGCAGCACAGCGAGGCGTCGGGTGCGAGCGCCCGACGGCTGTTGCCCTTGCGGCGTCGGGTGCGAGCGCCCGGCGGCTATTGCCCTTACAGCCTCGCCGGAGCCGCGCACGGGTCCGACGAGCGTGGTAATGGAGGCAGGGGAATTTTTCCCATGCGTACGGACGAGCTGTGGGCTGTCAGTTGGTTGAAGAAGATAAGGATCAGACGGCTGTCGCTAATCAAATCCAAGGGCTGCTAGGCGGCCGGCCGAATGTTGGGCCGGCGCGCCGGCGCCTATCACTGCCCTTTAGCAAAAGCTGCTTGAAGGCCGGCCAGCGGGGGCGCGTTGGGAACGAAGGAGTAGCTCAGTACTCGACGGAGAAATTCATTACAAACATTCTCATTTTTTTAGAATTTTTTGAAATATTTAAAAATGCTTTTTTACATTGCAGCACTGAGAGTACCCCAAGGCTGGAAGCACTAGATACTTTCCCCCAACCCGGGACCAGGCCGAGCCAGCCACACAGACGCGCTAAAGCCCAGTAGCTATTCCATCCGTGGTTACGGAAAAAAAAGCTATTCCATCCGTTCACCATTAAACTAACAACCTTCTAAACACATCAACGGATGAGATCTTTTCAAACCCCTTCATCCTAATAAAAGGAGATGATGATCTTTTCCAAAAGTATGTCACCCGCGTCGATACACGGTCTGTGTGCATACTACTCGTACATACGCAAACACCCCTCCATGTAAAAAAGTGAGCGGGACGTGGTTCAAATCCACGACATCTTTGTTAAGTGCACGTTGCAGTAGCCAACCAGACAACTCACCTGATGCGAATACTTACATCTTTCTTCATCTTTTTTCTTTCTTCTTTCTTCTGTTCGTGTCCCACTAAACGAGGTCGCATGTTTACATTTCTTCTTCTTCTTTTATGGTTTTGTTTGGCTGAGGAGGTCGAGGGTTATTTTTTTGGTTTTTTCTGCTTTTTTTAGCTGGTTTTACTTCTTATTTTTTCTTATTCTCTTTCTCTTTATTTCTTCATTTTCCTTTTCTTTTATTAATCTTCACAATTTTTTTAAAAAAAATTTAAGAACTTCTTAAAATTTGTATTTTTTTTCAAACTAGTCAACTTCAAAAAAAAAGATAGTAGCGACCAGTTTACCTTAGTGAACCGGTCTTTTTCACACTATTTGTCTTTTTGTTCCTTTTTCATTTTTCTGTTTTTCCTTTTTTTTATTCTTTTCCCTTTCTCCCAAACAAATCAAACTTTAAAATTTTATTCAAAATTTCAACAAATGTATGCATCTTGAAAATCTTTTACAGAAATTTCACATAAATGTTTGTATCTTTAAAAATCCCTCAGAATGTCAAAACATGGACATTTTTAAAAAGAGCATAGAAAACTTTGAACACGATTTAAAAATAAAGACTAAAATTTTTAAATTAAAAAAATCAGAAGGATGAAAAAATTCAAGCCATTTTTTTGAATTTCCCCAAATGTCTTTTGTATTTGCGTAGATTTTTTTAAATATGAAAATTTTTTAAATTATGAATTTTTTTGAAAGCACGCCTATTATTTGAAACTCCCCGAACATTTTTAGAATTTGTGAACAAATTTTGAAAAAAGCAAACATTTTTTTGAATTCGTGAACAACTTTGAAAACAGGAATATTTTTTGAATCGATGAATTTTTCCAAATCCGCGAGAGCTTTGGTTGGGCTTCCGTAACAAGCGCCTGAAGGGAGTGATGCCATTGCCTAGTTGGTGCCGGAAATCATTCAAACCTGGCATGGATGCCTATCATGGGC